CCCCTTTGCTTTGTGCGTTTAAAATAAAACTGAAATCTGTTTGGTCTTAACTGTGATATCTGGGAAGCATCATGCTTCCTACTACACTAAAAGATTTCTTAACTTTTTCAAAATGTGAATTCTTGAAAAGACCACCTGCCCCAAACTAGGATTTGAGAAACCAATCCCTAATTTTACTTATAAACGTCAAAATGTCCTTATTTTCACTCGCTTACTCAAAAAGTAGGATAAATATAAGAGCCTCCCTCTTTTGGAAAAATACAACTTTTGGAACCTCCAGTTGGCTGTGTTAGAAATTAGAACCGCCTTTGATGATGCACAGCCGTCTTTATTTCTTAACCACAGATGCCTCGAGCATTCCAGGAGGCTGACCGAAGGTACCTGGAGAAATGCACCATGGCTTCTCATCCTTTCTCCTGTCAGATCGAAAAGGGATGAGCATCCCTTTGCGTTACAACTAGGAACTTAATTACAAGATGACCTTGAGTAAGACAAATCCTTACACTGTCCGCCACCATTTCCCTCTTGTTCTCATATACACTCATCTCAAACATATGGGCAGCACTCAGTGATCTTAGTGGTTCCCCTACATCTCAGTCTTTCTCCTGTGGAGATTCACTTCAGAAAAGATCCCCAAACGGTAGAACTTAAATATCTTCCTACCAATAGCTGCTATTCATGGCAAAGGGGAAACAGAACACTGTTCATGCTGTCGCCTACTGTGCACCGAGGATCTCCTACTCAGCACTCATCCAGGAGCACCCCCAACAGTCCCAGACCCAAGTCAAGCCTCGGAGCTGAGCAATTAAGAACCAAAATTTCCAGAGATCTTTGTTGAAAGGTTCTCAGCTCTGTGACTCCAAACAGTTGTCTTTCCTCAAAAAAATTCTGTTATCTCTACCAATTCTCCTTTCCTGCTCTCTTGCAGAAAGCAGGTGATCAATCCACCCAGAGAAACTTCATCTGAATCCAAAGTTAGTATGCAATTAAGGTTTGTGTTCTTTGGGGATAGAAGTATCAATGAAGATGTAGCTGGCTCCTCGTGTGAGAGAAATACATGTCTGAACAGCTCTGCTTGGAAGGTTGAGGCATTTTACCATAT